AATAAATATCTGCAGTGATATTCCTTCTACATCACCGTAGTTTCTGCCAATCACATGGTTAAATGTAATTGGCAGAAATGCTCAACAAACAGAATCAACAAAGTTTGCAATAAACAATAACAAGAGAAAGAAAACAGGGCAAAAATAATATTGAGTAAACAATATCTCTAAGGCAAAACAATAGTAACAAGACAATAAGGTTCACAAACTAAGAATGCTGTTAACTCAAAAAGGGGATACAAACAAGTGATCACAGCGTTCTGGTGTCAAGACAAGAAAGAACACAACTAAGTCGGATGAGACCGAGAAGTGGCCTATCTTATTGACCAGGAAGAAATACCAGCATGCATCTGTATGTTTTGTCTATAAGTTTGGGGAAGGGGGATGTTTTTTGTAATAATTCCTCTGGGATTGGAAACAACATAGATGACACTTTTCTTATTCTACTAGACACAAAGCAAGGAATTCTTTTGATGGAGTCCTAGTTTTAATGTTTGCACTGGTTTGTGGATGTGAGTGGATGGCAGAACAAAGAACACAAGTGCAGTGATGAAGGAGCAAGAGTTACTTAAACTAACAAAAAACAGGAAATAGTGGAGAGCCATAATTGCCTACATTTTTAAAAAACTTGGTATATGAATGAAGGAGTAAGCAATCGCTAAAAAGTATGTCAACTGGTATAAACTTTGTCTCTGGTGCATCATCTTATTTTGTACAGATAAGTAGTCCTGTAACCTATCAGCTGTATTGCAGCCATAGCAATGGATGTGTGTCTAGGGCAAGTTAGCAGAACAGAGCTCATCTTTCAACAAGCAGGTGTATTAAAAGTACATAGATAAAATTTTATATATATATATATATATATATATATATATATATATATAACATGCCTAGAAAACCGGAAGTCAAATGGTAACAACTAAGAAAAAAGAGAGAAGTTTAAGAGGTGAGTGTAAAGTGAAAAAAAATGATACAAATAACAAATAATCGCAACATTCTACATGTGGTTCCACATGCACACAATAAAAAAAAACCCTGCACCAATGAAAAGTGCATATAAAAAAGAAAAATCAAGAAGTACAAGCAGTCAAATGCTGATACCCCTTGACAAGTGGACAATGTAATTCCTGGAAGGTCCATCTACAAAACACTGGAATCAGGATGCTGAAGATAATATCAATCAGTTAAGTGACAAACCTTTTAATATATATATATATATATATATATATAACTAGCTGCATTACCCAGCATTGCCTGGGTTTATTCAAAAAAAGATCAGAAACCTCATCCAATCTGTAAAGTTAAAATGAAGATTTTTCTTTATTGCTTCTTATTAATATGGTGAAAAATTATAATGACATGAAGTGTGAAAACATTTATAACAGGAGAAAGTTGTTTTTTACAGAAGCACAGAAGATAAAAAAATATTTGTCAGCAAATGTAGAGTACATTAATCACAATTGATCTTCGAAAATTGTTGAGGAGAAATGCTTTGTTGACAGCTTTTGCTCAAACTACATCGAATGAACAACATGCATTGGAAGGAGAAGAAATTCAACAAAGACTTCTCCTAGCAGCCGCGCCAAGGCTGAAAACCAATGTTCAAAATGACTGTATAGAATTGTTCTTTGTCCCTCAGTTTCAACAGCTCAAGTAGCATCAGTTCTGATAATCGTTTTTGATTCATTTTAAGATTGTAATATACATGTAAAATTCTGTCAAAATCAAAGCAATTTGAAAATTTGGGGGTCCCTTTGGTTTACTCTAGGGGTCCCAAATTTCAAGCCAAAGGACTAATAATAATTGAAATAGTAAAGCACATCTTTTTTAAGTTTTCTATTTAATCGACTTTATGGCCAAGGCTGTAGACTTAATTGAAAATTTCGGGGTTCCCTTCTGGTCCCCTAACTTGTGGGGGTCCCAGTGTTGATTTTCAGTGAATTCCAAGTGACTACTTCAGTTACTCAATATAATATGTACTGAAATTTTCATTGAAATTGGGGAATACTGCTACAAAATATACTTGAAAAGCAATTGGGCCCCTCATGCATTTTTAAAAATCTGACAACTGATTTCTATCTCATTGTAAGAGCATAACAAACATGCAAAATTTCATCAAAATCAAAGCAATTTGAATTTTTTTTGGTCCCTTTGGGGCACCCTGGGGGTCCCAGTGTCAAGAGAAACAAAAATCAGTATAGTGTATAATAAGCGTGACAGTAAGTTGCATACACTTATCAAGTTTCATTAAAATCAGCCTTAGGGGGTAGACTTCAAGTCTGAAAGTTTAAAAACATCCAAATTAATGGAAATTCCCATTTAAACATTATATTTAGCGATTATCGGTTATTGATTTTTGAAAAATGACTAATTTTTTTACCCAGACATACCCAGTATCAAGTACAATCTATGTTCCAAATTTGTTGGAAATATGCCTTATAGTTCTCAAGTAGTTCGCAAACACACACACACACACAATCAGTTTTATATATATATAGATAGAGAATAGATATGAAAATGAGTTTATGAACTTCTACTTATATAAGAAATAAGAAGTTGTAAAATAACTTACTCTGGAATGACTGCCCTGGCTTCGGCTGGTAAAGACTGATCCATAAAAACATGTTCAATCAGACGATAGGTTTGGGGATCTGAAACCAGAAATAATCAGTTATATTATCTTTAACAATAAATCTTATATTATAAATATATAATTATATTATAAATAAATATAAAACAATAAATTTGATTAAATCCAAAGAATCTGCAACATTATCAGTCCTGATCTGGAACGTCAGCTTTAGTCATTTTCCCACTGATTTATTTTTAATCCAATATTTTTTATTACTTCAAACATTATAGTGGATATAGCGACTAGAATTTTTGTTTTAATTTATTTTTTTTTTGTAGAAATATTTTTAGGTTTGTCATTGAATTAAAAATATTCAGACACACTTTCAAAAACACACACACACACACACACATACATACACACACACACACTCAATTTGAATTAAATTTTATGAACATTTGTATTGCAAGAATGATTTAAGAAGTAGGAACTGTGTGCTCTGAGTCTTTGTTTTATTGTATCTGTTCTACTGATAATTAACAGCTAATAGGAAATGCTTAAAACAGTGACATTCTAAAGAATTACCTAGATTAAAAAATGAACATACAAGGGTAAAATTTTGTTTAAGGGCACATCAACTATTATGGGTCATTTAATGCAGAAATTTAAATTATCTTGGGAGCTTTGAAGTAATAAAAATATGATACATGTTATTCTGCTTTCACAATTGAATACATGGTAGATGATACTCAGCTCTTGTGCATATACATGTTTGTGTGGACATGATTACTAGAGGCAGTGATATGTATATGTTGTAGTTTTGTTGAAGTTATATTTTGGAATTTAGTTAGATTTCTTTAAGAAATTGTAGGATATTATATAGATTAATATCATGAAAGAGTTCTCTCATGTTGGTTGATTGGTTGATTTTGTTTAGCAATATATCAACCTCTAAGGGTTATTCAATGCCAAAATATAAATGATTTAAACAATTCTGTGGCTTTCAGATACAAATATATACAGTCCAATATACCCATTAGGACCCCCAATCTGATAAGTGTATACCAGATACATGACTGACAGCTAAATTCTATTTTTTTTTTTTTTTTTATTCCACCCCCAAGTAAGACAATAAAGTCACTAAGACACAAGCCGTTACTGAGTGTGAAAGAAAAAGAAAACATTATTAAAAAGGAATCAAGAAAACAATAGAGAATGACTGATATCGTATTTAAATTTTTGAAGATCAAACTTGACTGGAAAGCAAGAAGCTGGAAAGGAGTTCCACAAGTGAGAAGTGTGAGAAAAGAAACTGTTAGCATAGAACTTACAGTTACATCTAACCAATTCAACTGTAAAATGACGAGATCTTGCTGCCATTTTAGTGTTGCACTTAAATTCATAAAGTCAAGGTACCCTACCGAAAAGTTAATCTGAACATTTACCATGAAAGTATTCATAGAAAAGGCACAGGGAAGCTACATTACAGCGGAAGGTAAGTGACTGAAGGCAAGATGCCATGTCAGGACCAGTAACATTGCAGATTCTTGTTTGGATTTTATCAAGAATCACTAAATATATAACAGGAGTTCCACATCATATATAGCAGCAATATTTGAAGCATGGAGAAATAATAAACTTATAAAAATGCAAGATTAACATTTCTAAAATGTTTCAGAGATTGCATTACTTTGCCAATTCTTGTATTAGCAGGAAATGGATAAATTCCAGGAAGACAAAACAGGCATTCACCATCTAAATCAGTGATTTTCAACTTAAAAAAAAACCCCCAAAAATAGACATTACAAATTGTTGAAGCTTAAATAAGCATGGAATAATACAACACAAAATGTACGTTAACAAAATGTATTGAAACAAAAGAATAGGTACACAATATTTACAGTTATTTTATATTCTTGGGAAGACTGTTCCTGCATAATGGGTTGAAAAAAAGTCGGGCAGAGTCTCTGGATTCAATTTCTTAATCTCTACTATCTTCCCGTCTTCCGTACCAACCCAGACATTAAATTAGGTGTATCAAATAGAAATTTTCTACCTTCTGTACATATTGTTAAATAATAAAAAAGTATTCTGATATTGTAATTGACCAGTGCAGATACTTCCAGCTACAGCACTTTGCAACATTACTAGTTTATTGGTTGATTGTTTTGATTTTTTATGACTTATCAACCTTTTGCAGGTTATTTAAAGCCAGAAAATATTTTTAGATAGTAAGAATTTTTGGGAGATAATGATTTTAATGATTTACTGATAAAGGTCTTACTAATTAATTAACCCATAGCTTGGAAAAGAAGTGGTGGATTCATGCCTTCCTGAGGGTATTTTTGCACATAAGAAATAAAATAAACTCATCTGGAATTAGAACTTGGATCTCCAGTTAACAATTCCGAGGCATTATACATTTTACCATACAGCACCTGGTAATTCCAAGCAGCTACCCATATAGGTACTGACCAGGTTCAACATTGCTTAACTTTGGTGATTGTACGAGAACTGGTGTTTCAATGTGATATGGCTGTAAGCTACATTACAAATACATTGTGACAATGTTGGAGATGGGTAGTTAGTTTGGGATCAGGCAAACAGTTGATTACAACATTGCATGAATGTAACATTACATATCCTGCAACAAAAATACAATCTAACACAAAACTTTACAAGACCATTCCATGTTAGCTGGGAAAGTTGGTTGAAACAGAAACGGTTAATAGATGTCTGAGTTAGTAGTTAACAACTGCTTTTAGATTCCACCTGCGTTAACTGCCAGGGACCCAGAGGACTGGGCATTAATAACTACTTTCAGGGACTTACCCATTAGGAAGGACTTTATAATTGAGAAGACCCTTCCAGTGATTCCATAAGTGGAGACCTTGAGCAGCAAACCTTTGTGCCACACCTTGTCAAAGGTCTTCAAAATATTTAATGCTATGGTCCTTGAGGTATATTTGTCATTAAGATTGTAGAAATATCAAAGATGGTTCCATAAAACTGCAATTTAATTGGATGTTGTCTCTAAGAGATGTTAAGTATATTTTGAAGCATCTGAGTGTAGGTTCCATAAAGTTTAGACTCTAGGGTTTTAGTTAATTTCTAAGCAGTGGCATCACACATTAACACCACCTCTACAATGGCTCAAAAGAATCCCTGCTTGAGGCTGTCTGGTAGATCAGATTTCCAGATTACATCTATTTTATTCAAGCAGCCCAGGATTTACCTATACAGTTTTTCACATCCTTTTCAGTAGAATTTATCTCACTTCCTAGGTAAGTAAAAGATATGGCAGATTTTATTGATTCACCTGAGACAATTTGTACTGAGCCATGTTGGTTTTGATTTCCAATAGGAAACTTCAAAACTGAAGAAAATATAGAAAATAAATGAATAATATAAAGAAACTTGGTATCAGGTCTATAAATAACATAAACATTAGCCCTAAACAAAAGAGCTGGGAAGGAGTGGGTTTTTGCCCACCCACTTCCATCATGACCTCAGGAGAATAGATAGATAGATAGATAGATAGATAGATGAAGTTAATATAATGAACAGTAATGCATGGTCTGAAAACTGCTTGAGGAGTGAAACTGACAGTCATCATACAGTGTTGATTTCTATATCGACTCACACACAAATAAATAAAAAAAAATATGAGGGAGGCAGAAGCAGAAAGATAGATAACCAGAAAGAGAGAGAGAGAGGTGCGTAGATAACCAGAGAGAGAGAGAGAGGTGGGTAGATAACCAGAGAGGGGGGTAGATAACCAGAGAGAGAGGGGGGGGAGGTAGATAACCAGAGTGGGGTGTAGATAACCAGAGAGAGAGGGAGGCAGAAGCAGAAAGATAGATAACCAGAGAGAGAGAGGTGGGTAGATAACCAGAGAGAGAGAGGTGGGTAGATAACCAGAGAGAGAGAGGTGGGTAGATAACCAGAGAGAGAGAAGGGGTAGATAGATAACCAGAGAGAGAGAGAGAGGGGGTAGATAACCAGAGAGAGAGAGAGAGAGAGGGGGGTAGATAATCAGAGAGAGAGAAGGGTAGATAACCAGGAGAGAGAGGGGAAGGGGTAGATAACCAGGGAGAGAGAGAGGGGGTAGATAACCAGAGAGAGAGAGGGGGGGTAATAACCAGAGAGGGGGGATGGGGGGTAGATAACCAGAGAGAGGGGGGGGGTAGATAACCAGAGAGAGGGATGGGGGGGTAGATAACCAGAGAGAGATGGGGGGGGGGGGATAACCAGAGAGAGATGGGGGGAGAGAGTAGATAAATCAGAGAGAGAGAGGCAAGCAGAAAGGGTTAACCACAAAAAGAGGCAGAGAGAGAAAGAGTTTTTACTCTAGTCCGAATAGTATAGTTTTTTTACATTTTTGCTTAATGATGTACAACAAGATATATAAAACACTATAATTTCTGCGGTGATCTCTAGAAATTAACAAATACTCTTAATCACTTTTAAAATAGGGATATTATATCTTTGCTTGTTGTAATGATAATAATGAACCTGGTACCAGTGAAAAATATAAAATTTTCACACTCATTTTCATCCTACACTGAATTATATGTGCCAGAGTTTTAAGGGGGTTACACACACAAAATAAGAAAAATGTTCACCTCCTGTTTTATAAAATAAAGAAATGCCTATTTTTCACAATATTGCTAAGTATTTTTTTTTTTTTTTTTTTTGTTAAATCAGTATCACCCCAGGCAAGGCAGTAAAGCCACAAAGACACAAGGGGTTACAGAGTGTAGAAGAATTAGGAACAGAAACATTAATAATGAGCAGGAAGAAGAAAGAGTAATCAGGATGACAATAGATAGTGATTGACATTGCATTTAAATTTCTGCAGATTAAAGCTGGCTAGAAAGCATGGAGCCAGGAGGGAATTCCACAAGCGAGAAGTGCAAGAAAAGAAACTGTTAGCATAGAATTTACAGTTACATCTAGCCAACTCAACTGCAAATTGATGAGATCTTGATGCCAGTCTAGTACTGCACTTAAATTAAAAAAAGTCTAGGTACGATAGCGAAGAGATCATCTGAAACAATTACTATGAAAGTGTTTATAGAAAAGGCACAGAGAGGCAACCTTACGGTGGTGGGAAAGTGACTGAAGCTGAACAAAAACAAATCTGTTCATTTTCAGAGTTTTAGAAAATAAATGTAGGTCTGTCATGGATTCATATTTTATAAGTTAAAGATCATCTTGCTAAAATTAATCATTTGCAAGTGGAACTATTTTAAAATGATGATAAAAAGATTCACATTAATTTGATTTCTTGAAGAATTCAATAGAAATCTTATAGATTCTTATTGATACTGTATTAAACAAGGACTGATTGATATCTGACATATATATATATATATATATATATATATATATATATATATATAAGCAAGTGTAAATGGATATAAATCCGACAGAATGAAGAAATTTTGAAAAAACAAACAAAAAATCCTTTCTTTCATTTTAACTACATTTAAGGATTTTTGTTTGTTTTTCAAAAATTTTCATATATATATATATATATATATATATATATATATATATATATATATATATATATATGTATGTATGTGTGTGTGTGAAAAATATATAGAAAATAGGAAAGAACTTGTTAGGTAAATAATCCAGAGTTCTTTAGTATTTTTGTTATTATTTTTAAAAAATAGTGCTCGATACAAAAGTAGAGCATAAATATAATTATATATTTAAAAATATGATTCCAACACGCTACATAAGAGTTCTCATGTTTCAAAACAAGAGCTGAAAACTTCAATATAATTATTTGAATTTAATTGAATTAAAGTACTAAGCTCCGTTCCATCTTCAAGCGAAATTTTTTTTGGAATAACTTATTTCTGAAATTTACGCGTTTTATAAGCATATTCATTATTGAAATCAAAATCTCTATGGTAACGGCTAGAGCAATTTTTTAAAGAAAAGGGGCGTGAGGTGTTAATAAACATTAGAACACTAAAGAATTAACAACAGTGTAAAGTGACAAAAAAAAAAAAAAAAAAAAAACAAAAGGATAAATAACCATGACATTCTACACATATGTACATATGCATGCAAATTATGAAAAAAAAAAAAAAAAAAAATTTGTACCAATGAAATGTGCATATAAAAAAAAAGTCAAGAAGTATATACTGCCTGACCTGACAAGTCAACAGAATGTTTTCTGAAACTCTGGAGTTTGGATACTGAAGATAACATCAATATCAGCTATGTGACAAACCTTTTACTCATATTAATATATATATATATATATATATATATATATATATATATATATTAAAGATTAAAAAAAAAAAAAAGATTCATATATATATATATATATATATATATATATATATATATATATATATATATTTAAATAAAATGTGTTAGAATATTTTGTATATATTTAATATATATATATATATATATATATATATATATATATTATATATATATATTTTATTCTAATCAACCAACAGTATTAATAGCTTACAAATTATAAGAGAAACTAGGTTGAATTTTCTGATTAAGATAATAAAACTAAAAAATAGATAAATAAACTAAAAAAAAAAAAAGAAAAAAAAAGAAGCCCTTATCATATCAATAATCATAACATCCAATCAGATGTGTGTTTTTCTCTCCTCACCAATTTGAGACAATGCTTCCCGACATCTGTACCAAGTTATCCAATTACTGAATATCTCAAGTTTTTAATTGTTCCGTAATGATTTATTTACTTACAATCAAATTTTTTTTAAAGATTTTATGCAGCTTTTAGTATTTTCTATGATAAATATCCCAATTAAATGTTCATCATCAATCTAACATCAAAACCAGAGAAACAATGAAGTGTTTTTTGATTCTGACAGTTTGCAATCATGAAAATAAAATTCTACATTGATTTGACAAACATGAAACACTTAAAATACTGTTACAATATTAACCCATTATCCCCCAAAATGAGAGGGTAGGCATTAATGACTAAGTAGAAATCTATAATACCTGATAGTATAATAATGCCAGATTCTTTTTTTTTTTTTTTTTTTTTTTTTTTTTTTTTTTATAAACCTATAATTATTACTGGATATCTTTATAAACTTACAAGGCTCGGTTGAAAAGTTCATAGACTGATCAAGAAATAAATGTAAGCAGACAAATCAGTTGGCAGTTTAAAAGACATTCAAGTGTACCAGAATACAATAGCTGGTCATTCAGCAGTTATATCTTGTTCAGCCTATGAACTTTATAACATAACACCATAAAATTATTACTGGATTTTTTTTTTTTTTTTATAAACCTATAATGATTACTAGACATTTTTATAAACATAAGTATCAGAATTTGATTTTTGATTTTATGATTAATAGTGGATTTTACAGTAGACATTAATAAGTTAAAAATGTGAAATATCTAAGTTTATATATATATATATATATATATATATATATATATATATATACACAACATCAATATAAACAACACCTAATCAGGAAACAAATAAAGCAATTTCCACACCTAGAGAAGAC